AGGTGAGCCTCACTGCGCACATGCACCTTATCTGGGGCCAAGCCCGGAGCACCATTGAAGTTTTTCTGCTCGACTACGAAGTTGTCGTGGCACAAGCCATCCATGAGCATCCCTACCATTGTGACTGCTGATGCACTGCTGCTGTCGAAAGTGCAGCCTGCGAAATTGGCCGGCTTCTTGGCCTTTGCTGCATCACAGTCGTAATTGTCGGTACAAGTGCTGGATGAGCTAACGCAATTAACGTTAGCTGCACTTGCGATGTTCGCGCCCAGGTCCTCAATAGAGGAGACCCTGAGACAATCGTTGGCATCCTTCATGCCGGTGATTGCAACTGTCCAGTTGTTGTCCAGCCCGTGCGCTGCATGTGAGCTTGGTAGGATCATTGCAACGACCAGAGAAGCCAACATCATGCTGCGATGCGTTTGCGAAGAGGCCGGCTTTGGAAAATTCACAAGCTGCGTCGAGCCAAGCGCAACCAAGGAAACGTCGTCTCAGGCTAACACAACAAAAAGCTGCCTTCTATTCCCTTCTGAACCGTAGCTGCGCTCTCCGGAGCCCAATCCGCACAACGGGATTCTGCACTTTTTCTCCCCACTGTGCTGGCAAGTCGTGGTCGAGCACCTCAAGTGGCCAGTGTCAGACTCTTTGCTGCCTGAGGCCTATGCCACCACCGTCTGCCAGTAGAAATGCCTGAGACCTAAGCAATCCGCTTTGGTTGCAGACACTAGAAATAGAAAGGAACGAGGCTTGGTCCAAAAGCCCAGGGACTTGCGGAGCATGGGAAGACCAGATGGAGAGCCTAGTTTCTAAAGGTTAGAGCCATACAGCCATACTCCCATCCCCATGCTCCTGTCAGAATCCTCTACCCCGCGACATTATAGAGACTCGCATCAGCACTTAGTGCGTCACGCAGTCTCGCGATATGACAGAGACTCGGATCAGTACTCAGAAAGTGAAGCAGGTCAGAGCGGTCGTTGTTGTTGCAAGACCCAGCCATGGCATGCGGGCGTCTGATGTTGTCACCTGGTCCATGGTCGTGGTCGTCGTTGTGCCGCATGGGTGCCGGGCCTCCATGAGCCAGTCGAAGACCTTCTCCGCCCCTTCACTGCCTTTCTCCGTGCGTGCCAGCTTGCTGTATGTAAGCGCACCAGCACTGCCGGAGTGCTGCAAGAGGTAGAAGCCCGTTGCTGCACAGTAGTCAACCACAAGGCAGGCCCTCGTGTGCAGGTGAGCCTCACTGCGCACATGCACCTTGTCTGGGGCCAAGCCCGGAGCACCATTGAAGTTTTTCTGCTCGACTACGAAGTTGTCGTGGCACAAGCCATCCATGAGCACCCCTACCATTGTGACTGCTGATGCACTGCTGCTGTCAAAAGTGCAGCCTGCGAAATTGGCCGGCTTCTTGGCCTTTGCTGCATCGCAGTCGTAATTGTCGGTACAAGTGCTGGATGAGCTAACGCAATTAACGTTAGCTGCACTCGCGATGTTCGCGCCCAGGTCCTCAATAGAGGAGACCCTGAGACAATCGTTGGCATCTTTCATGCCGGTGATTGCAACTGTCCAGTTGTTGTCCAGCCCGTGCGCTGCCTGTGAGCTGGGTAGGATCATTGCAACGACCAGAGAAGCCAACATCATGCTGCGATGCGTTTGCGAAGAGGCCGGCTTTGGAAAATTCACAAGCTGCGTCGAGCCAAGCGCAACCAAGGAAACGTCGTCTCAGGCTAACACAACAAAAAGCTGCCCTTCCATTCCCTTTGAACCGTAGCTGCGCTCTCCGGAGCCCAATCCGCACAACGGGATTCTGCACTTTTTCTCCCCACTGTGCTGGCAAGTCGTGGTCGAGCATCTCAAGTGGCCAGTGTCAGACTCTTTGCTGCCTGAGGCCTATGCCACCACCGTCTGCCAGTAGAAATGCCTGAGACCTAAGCAATCCGCTTTGGTTGCAGACACTAGAAATAGAAAGGAACGAGGCTTGGTCCAAAAGCCCAGGGACTTGCGGAGCATGGGAAGACCAGATGGAGAGCCTAGTTTCTGAAGGTTAGAGCCATACTCCCATCCCCATGCTCCTGTCAGAATCCTCTACCCCGCGACATTATAGAGACTCGCATCAGCACTTAGTGCGTCACGCAGTCTCGCGATATGACAGAGACTCGGATCAGTACTCAGAAAGTGAAGCAGGTCAGAGCGGTCGTTGTTGTTGCAAGACCCAGCCATGGCATGCGGGCGTCTGATGTTGTCACCTGGTCCATGGTCGTGGTCGTCGTTGTGCCGCATGGGTGCCGGGCCTCCATGAGCCAGTCGAAGACCTTCTCGGCCCCTTCACTGCCTTTCTCCGTGCGTGCCAGCTTGCTGTATGTAAGCGCACCAGCACTGCCGGAGTGCTGCAAGAGGTAGAAGCCCGTTGCTGCACAGTAGTCAACCACAAGGCAGGCCCTCGTGTGCAGGTGAGCCTCACTGCGCACATGCACCTTGTCTGGGGCCAAGCCCGGAGCACCATTGAAGTTTTTCTGCTCGACTACGAAGTTGTCGTGGCACAAGCCATCCATGAGCATCCCTACCATTGTGACTGCTGATGCACTGCTGCTGTCGAAAGTGCAGCCTGCGAAATTGGCCGGCTTCTTGGCCTTTGCTGCATCACAGTCGTAATTGTCGGTACAAGTGCTGGATGAGCTAACGCAATTAACGTTAGCTGCACTTGCGATGTTCGCGCCCAGGTCCTCAATAGAGGAGACCCTGAGACAATCGTTGGCATCCTTCATGCCGGTGATTGCAACTGTCCAGTTGTTGTCCAGCCCGTGCGCTGCATGTGAGCTTGGTAGGATCATTGCAACGACCAGAGAAGCCAACATCATGCTGCGATGCGTTTGCGAAGAGGCCGGCTTTGGAAAATTCACAAGCCCCGTTTTGAGCCTCCGTTCCGACTCGGATACCGCGAAGTGCAAGCCATCGTGTCAGACACAGACCACTAGATCTTATCTTACGAGCAGCTTGTACTATGACCGCGGCTCTTATCACAAGTCTTTCTTCTTATCTTCCCTTACGACCGGTCTTTCTTATTCTCTTCAGGGGGCTGTCAAAATGGCACCGACCTCGACTCTAAATTGATTGGTACCCTGATATGAGAAGACTTGAATCAAAACACTGGATTTATGTGGCTCTTCTTCCGTCTACTTAGCTGACAGTAGAAGCCCCATCGCTTTGGGGTGAAGGGACTTAGTTTGTTGCTACCTCCAGGCATCTTCTTCAGAGACAGCTCTGACCTGCTTGCTGATAGCAGCTGAGCACCCTGCCCACGCCCAGCCGTGCAACCTCACTCAGGGCATGAAGAGCTTCGCACACGGGCTTAAGGCTATTTTTCCGGGATTGGCTTGACGCGCCGTGGGCTTAAGGCTTAAGGATTAGGGCTTCAGGTACCTGTGCAACAGGCTATCCTGTAATTATGCAGGGGCCCGCAGGAAACACAACAAGTAGCCACAATGTCAAGCACAATCGATTGCGAACAATAGGATGGTATTCACCACGGTCATCATCAAGCTTATATCAGCGAAGCCACTAGGTAGGGTCACCGGGTCAACGACATCCCCGAGGCTCAGGCATTGTAGGTTGCGGACTCAGAGACCTGCTCAAAGATGAAGTTCAACCTCGAGTGCTATAGATCTCTGGCAACGTTCGTGGGTTTAGCTCCAGTTTAGGGGCTGGCTGCGTGGTGTGCGTGTGTGTGTACCGTACACTATGATCCCCTTAACAAGGATCTAGCAAGATTCTACCAAGTTGTTGGCTCCGTGCTTGCGCGTTTTGGAGGTTGCACCGGGGATGTAGGGGGAGCTTCAGTTGTGGGACTTTTCGGCGCATAGGGCCTTAATCAGAGGCTGTAAGGTAAGGGTGCTTCGAGGACTTACTGTAGGATACAGCACATTGCAAACCGGGATCGCGGCAGCTGGACAAGCGTGTCTGCCTCAGGCGCTCCATCCTACCACCACTGTTGTCTTCTCACTCCAAAGTGCGATAATTACAGTCATTACACCGCAATTCACGGAGCTGACTTGTCAATCTATTCCCCGCACGACATCGTGGAACCAAACCAACGACAAAACCCTGCACAGTGCACAGTATGCCACCTTCGCAAAAAGAAATCTGAACGCAAAGTCTGATCAAAAAGATACACTGCGTAACACTGCATACCTTGATGCACCATTATGGGACACTACGTAGTGTAGTTCTACTACGGTGTTTCGTAATGTAGAACGTATGGCACTTACGGCCACGATGTCCTCCGGTTGGACAGCATTTCGTTTTGTTTCTTCACTGATGCGATAAGCTCACCATATTTGTCAAATTTCTGGCATAGCACAGCGCCCGCAACCGCGGACCAGTAAAAACTTGTGCCGTTGTGCTCGGTGCCAACCTACTGATGCAAGGAGAACAAGACAAGCAGTTGGGGTTCTAATCTCCTCCAACAAGAAGCTCGCAGCACTATAGAGCTTGTTTTAAACCCACACAATCAACAGCAACTAGAGCCAGGTAAATACGAGTGTTGCTACACTTCCGCCTGGCACTTGGGTTCCCGGGCCGCGCCAACACAGGCTTGCGGCAGCTCCGAACCACCTTGTCGGGTCTCGCAGCCATGCCAGGTTGAGGGATTCAACTCAGACACCCAGACCAGAGCATGAGGTTCTTGGCTCGAAGTTCGTCAGCGAGATGGTTGACGGTTTGGGGTTTAGGGTGGTTTAGGGGTGAGTTCAGGATTTCGTGTGATCTTGGATGTTCGAAGCAAGCTCGTTTTTGGCTCGTATGGTCCCACTGGCCCAAGTTATTCTCGGAAACTGCTTGGCAGCCTAGGGAAACAAATAGACAAGAGATGTCGCGAACGTGTGAAAGTTCCACAGCCCGGCACACTCGAATTCACATGCATGCTCTTAGTCGATCTGCGTTCTGTTGAAGCACCTGGACCAGCCAGGCGAGGACTCCACCGGCCGAGCATGGCCGAGCCGACTGTACTTTCAGCCGTGCCTTGAGCACTGCTGTCTCTCATGCATGGCCTCCGCTTCCAGGAGGGTATCGAAGCGAGCCTGCATGTCCTCGGCAAACTTCTGGATGCAGCAGAAACAAGCGGTACCATCATGCAGCCTTGCTGTCTTCGGGAGCTTGTCGTATTTCTCATGGAATTTTAGCAAAAAGGTGTTGTAGAGCGCTTCTGCTTCCTGCGCTTCCAAGCCCTCCAGCTGGATGGCATCGTCTGCCAACTCGTCGATGAAATAAGACGCCATCTGCTCGCAAAACCTGTCCAGGTAGGGCGGCTGATATGGCAAACCTTCCTCCCAGAAGCGGAGTAGCTCTTCGCACTGTGCCTTTGACATGCTTGCGATGCGGTCAGCTATGAAATCCTGAGCAATCAGAGCCTTCCGCCGCTCAAAAGCCATCTGTGCAAAAGGCTCGAGTGAACTCGTTGGAGCCATGGCTTTGTCGCGGATCTCCGCCAGTCGCTCTGGGGGTACATCCTCAAAAGGAGTAAATGGAACTGAATCGAAACTTGCAGACCCACTCAAGCTGGGCACAACGGTCACCTCGTCGCCAGGTCCGATTCCATACTGCCGCAAAGTTCTGCAGTTCAACTTCAGGCGCCATTCTTCGGCACCCTTGAAGAGTTCCAGATTCCTGTGGTCAGCTCTTCGGAGCTCCTTCACCTGCAAGGGGATCGACCGCTTGACCTGGAGGATGGTGTCGTCCGGTTTTAGTCGGAGCTGGGTCGGGGGTCGGCTCTGTTGAAGCAATCGGATGGTGATCTCTTCACAGAGATCCCAAGCCTTTGGCTCAGGGACAAGGCGAAAAGACTCGCAGGAAGCCTCGCGAGGCTTTGCAGGCTCCACGAATTGAATTGCCGGGCTGGGACCGGGAGGCCGCGACGGAGGCATCTCCTCTAAGGTCCCCTGCTCTGCCTGGAGCGAGCTACCGAACTCCTCGCCCTCGAAATCCCTCGCCGCGGCTCCGGCCTGCTTCTTTCTAAAGCAGGACAGCCAGCGCATCATTGCACCATGTGTCGAAGGTGCTGTAGGAGAGCTTGCTTGATCGGCAGAAAGATCGCACCGCTGCTGCGTCATTAACACTGCGAAGCATCCCTCTTAATCGGCATGCAGTGGTTGGCCCTTACATGCAAACATATCTGCAGGCTACCTGCGGCTCATGGCCGGTAACAGTAACAAGCAAGTAAGCAGTTGACATGCCAGGCCCAATCCACTCCGATGTGATGCTGGGTGCTGCCAATGGGGAGTGGCAAGGCAGTTTAGCTGCTTCTAAACATAGTGTGACATGTTCAAGAAACTTGCCTCCCACTATGGGTAGTTCTTGTCTTCGCGTTGCACCCGGTGATAACTATGCAGGTCCATGCTGTTCAAAGTCAACCCTTATCAGGAACAGGCTCGCCCACGACCCACGACGCACTGAGAACAGGACGCGGAACTTTGCCAAGCTGGGCCGCAAGAGCCTGCCAGAGTATGCCCATGACGCTCTGACAAGGCCATGAAGGCAGCGGCCAGTGGTAGCAGCAGCCGCAGTACGTGTACAAGTATGGGTCGCTGGCATCGTTTCGGCAGGGTCGCACGAGGAAAAGGAAAGGAGTAGAAGCGGGAGTGAGACTCGGAGTGGAAAGAAGAGCGAACGTCGACGTCGCCCTACACTAAAGAAAACACCACGAGAACCACCACCAGCACCACCACCACCACCACCACCACAACCACCGCGACTACACTACGTATTACCACTACGACGACCACCCACTGCCACTGCCACTGCCACGACCACTACTCTTACTACTACTACTACTACTACTACTACTCCTCCTCCTCCTGCTGCTGCTGCTGCTGCTGCTGCTGCTGCTGCTGCTGTTACTACTACTACTGCTGCGACTACTACTACTACTACTACTACTACTACTACTACTACTACTACTACTACTACTACTACTATGACTACTACTACTACTACTACTACTACTACTACTACTATGACTACTACTACTACTACTACAACTACTACTACTACTACTACTACTACTACTACTACTACTACTACTACTACTACTACTACTATGACTACTACTACTACTACTGCTGCTGCTGCTACTACTACTGCTACTGCTACTACCACTACTACTACCACCACCACCACTACCACTAACTACTACTACAACTACAATTACTACAGCCGCCGCTGCTGCTACTACTCTACGAGCATCAACTATGTACCAGCCAGTATGCCATCACCCCAGCAGCAGCAGTAGACTTGAGCGTCGGCAGGTTCGCTGAGAACGGACATTTGCAACACCGGTGCACACATGCGTGTATGGCACGAACTGTCGAGTCAGCAAGGCTCGACTACGGCATGCCAGTGCCTTCAGGTGAAGTTCCACATAAATCTATTTGTTCTGAGCCAATTCCTGAACAGCTTTCCCGAAATCCTAGCAGCCTAGCATTTCACCATATTCCACCCCTCGCATGGTAATCCTTCTTTCGTCTGACAAGATCGAAGGACCAAGAGCAGACCTCGTTTTTCCACGCCGATAGCCAGTGGCCGATGGTCCCCTAAAGGCACACCACACTACACAATGATGTGCCCCTGTTCACAGGACTTCCGACCAAAGACTCCTCATGTTGAGTGATGGTGGGCAAAACGCTTAATTAGCGGAACGAACGCGAAGCCTCTTATCATCGACCCGGCAACCATCCGCTCGCAGCTCACACTCCTCTGGCAGCACGTCCAGGAAGCTAGCGCTTTGAGGACAACGTCCGTGAAAGCCAGTCCAGACCCTCGTACAGGCCGTCTCCTGTTGTTGCGCATGCGGACTGGATAAACCACTGACGATGTCGCAAGTTGTGCAAGCCGAGCTTCTCTGTGACTTCTGCTGCTGTCATTGCATTCGGCAAATCCTGCTTGTTGGCAAAGACTAGAAGCACCGCATCACGCATCTCGTCTTCGTTCAACATTTTGTTGAGCTCTTCACGAGCATCCTCGATGCGATCCCGGTCGTTGCTGTCAACCACATAGATCAAGCCATTGGTGCCCTGGTAGTAGTGGCGCCACAAAGGGCGAATCTTGTCCTGACCACCAACGTCCCACACCTTAGTGTGACTTTCGAAAATGGCTGCAAACGCCTGAAATCGCTCTGGTGCTTTGCGGCTTTCGGTATCCTGCCGTTGGCGGACGGTCGTTTGAGAAGGGAATCTTTCAACCTAACTTCGGACTCTACCTGTGCACGAGACAGTCATAAGGCGTCACTGGCTACCCCATCCATGTGAGAAGAGATATGGCTCCGCTATGCACTAAGTTTCGTAGGATCTAGCTTACTGACCACCCAGAAACACGAGGGTTGACCGCGGACACAGCAGGGCCCGACCCCAAAAGTTTGTCAGAATTGGAAGTCTCATTCTGCATATGCCTGGGAATGCGTTAGCGGCCTGGATCCGAACGCAAAGCATATTCCGAAACACCGGGCACAAGCATGCAACCCTAGGTGTGTGTTCATCGGCCACCAAGGCCCAAACCGTGAATGACAAGTTCTTGTACTCCACAGTCTCCACATTGAAGCCGATCGTGGGGATCGTGGTGACCACTTCGCCCAGCTTGAGTTTGTATAGAATGGTTGTCTTACCAGCCGCATCTAAGCCGACCATCAGAATGCGCATCTCCTGCTTTCCGATGAGACGCTGCCATATTTTCGTGAACGCGAGACCCATGGCTATGGAGCCGCTCCCCAAGAGACTTCTGGAAAAGACAAGGCTTGGGCCACAGCCGATGCATGAATTCGAGACTGCGTAGCCCCGAGGCACGAGGACTCGCAGCTGTCGAGTGAAAGTACCCGAGCGCCGCACATCCACGTGTTGCTCCACACCCTGCCAAAGTAAAGCAGCTCTGCTTCCATCACAGTTGAATTGCAAGCGATGGAACTGATGAGTGTCGGCTGCTAGAAGAACTGACTCAGATGATGCCGTGCGGCCCGGGTCCAACAACACAACCACGCTCATGCCACAGACGGCAGAACCCGAATAGAAGATAAATGTACCTGGGACACAAGGAAGCAGAGAGCTGTCGCCTGAAAGAACTTCTGGAGAAATGCGACCATGCGACGCAAGGGCCCCAGCCCGAAACCCACGATTCCTCCCGGGTGTTGAACCCTGGAAACACCGGCTGCACAATCCAAGAAATCATTGCACCGGTGCTTTCACATCATGACGCTCCTTGCCTTGTATTAACGATTTCTGAACCGTCAATTCAGGTTAAGAGGGACCTCAGCTAAGGAGCCATCGCCGAAAGCATTGAGGTCCGCCAACATGGAGCGCAACTCCGCGGTGATGGCCTGGAGCCTGCTTCCACTGCGTACAGTACTAGAAGTAAGTCGCCGTAGCATTTCTACGACGACCCCATGCCTTGAACCCCAATTTCCGGCCTTCTTGGTCGTGGGTTTACGATTCGCAACCTTGACCTGCTATACAGCTTACCAGAAGTGGACTAACCAGACCTTGTTTATCAGCCTTCCACAACTTCCACCGCAGACCCGATAGCTATGTCGGGCCTGCTCACAAGCGATTGCGGATCCAGCCGCGTCTCCTGACCACGCAACGAGGTTGAGCTGTCAAGAACTTTGGGATTCCCTCAACCTGAAGCTAGAGCCCTCCCCCAAGCGCTGCTTGTTCGAGTCTCGCATCTCCTACAGGAAGCAAGGGTGAGTAGAGATGGGCTGGCAGAGTGCACTCGGGCTGTTGCCTGTAGCAGCAGGTACGCCCTTACAGTTGTTACTATAGTACGATACATGAAAGAAAGAATGTGCTCGCTCTGTGGGTTTAGTGCTCCAGCTTCATGCCGGCCGTCCTTGATTACACGAGGTTTGGGGGTATTGTCTTGTCCTGCAGCAAACCTGCACACGCATGCGAAGACACGCAAATCCAAGAGGAACATTTGCAGGTTGCAAACAAGATTCTCACTTCCCTGAAGAATCGGACTCATTGCCACCCCTGCTTCCTCATTTGCAGATTGAGATGTTTGCTCAGAGTGGCATGGCTGTTTTGTTAGGAAAGCTCATGTCATACTGCGAAAGGCTTTTTAACGGCTTGTGGCATGCAAAACCTTGCTCGGCGTTTGGTCTGCGCACAGGATTTTTGAGAATGGCCATGCATCAAGCTTCTTTCACTGGGAACTGTTTGGGGTACCCCTAATTTCCTGAAACTCACATATGAGCCCCTCAGAGATGAGGTGATATCTGGAGATCCTCGTGGTCGCAAATACCGGCGATTGCGGTCTCCTCTGGGCAGGTAAAGGGTTTCTACAAGCGTCTCACGAAGAGGATCCTAGGGTCACCTGCTAGAATATCCTAGAATATATATATATATATATATATATATATGTATATATATATATATATATGTATGTATATATATATATGTATGTATGTATGTATGTACGTATGTAATCGTGTAGAATGATGTACGAGCAAATAAACTGCGATACAAAAATAGATACCAATATATACGAATACAATACGTGTATGTATATATATATATATATACATATAAATGTATGTATATATATATACACGTAATTTGCGGTTTCGGGCTCAAGTTCTCACTTGGGCCTCATGTACGGGGCTGGCAAGAAGCTTCAACGCACAGCGTTTTAGCCTTCCCCCCGTCAGCTTTTCTACCTTCCTGAAATCTCACTTCCGAATTTCAAGCCCATCCGAAAACCAACCTGGCCTTAAGGGGTTCAAATCTCACTTCCGAATTTCAAGCCCATCCGAAAACCAACCTGGCCTTAAGGGGTTCAGATTTGGGTGAATTCCTCGTTTCCTGCCACGAGATTATACGAGATTAACAAATCTAAAACCTTGGGGACTCCGAGACCCATTCAACCCATCTCTTCAGGCTTTGTCGTTTCCTTGCCGGTTTTTCAGCTCAGAGATCTCAAGATCTTACTCCTATCCGTCCCTGTCCTGCAGGTTCTCGAGGATCCCCAAGATGCCCTCACCTCGGCGGAGTTG